CATGACGACTATTTGCTTCATTTATATGACAAATTTATTGCACTGCCCCACCTAAAACAACTAGTCGGGCACCTGATATACGGACCGGAAAAGTGTATAGTACCACAAGTTTTGATAGTTACTCTTTACCTTGCTTTACCGAACTGTATAATCTGTTTTACCCTAACGGAAAAAAAATAGTACCTTTAAACATTGCCGATCTTTTAACTCCCCTGGGGTTAGCTACTGGATTTGTGATGATGGGACAAGGAATAAACGGTAACGATATGTTGAATTATCTACAAATTCTTTTACATTAGCAGGAGTCGAGCTATTAGTCAATGCTTTAAATGACAACTTCGATTTAAAATGCTACAAATCTAAAAGAGGTGATTCTTATACAATTAGAATACCTGCTTACTCAGTTCCTATTCTACAAGAATTATTAAAAGACATAATGCCTTCAATGATGCTTTACAAAATTGGTCTTTAAATTTTGATTTTTCCAGGGTTAGGAGCCTTAAAGGACCAACCCTTAACCCCTCCCGCCGAAATAGTTTAATTGGTAAAACGATTTCCTTGTAAGATTTAAATGCTTGGTTCAACTCCAACTTTCGGCACTTCTAAACCGTCATTTTTTGTTAACTAAGATGCATCCTTGTCAGGATACATCAGGGTCCATTTAAACCCTGGCCGAACCAGCCTAATTCCTGCCAGTTAGGGCCGATTCATCGTTAAGATGAATCGATTGTAATATGGCAAGGGACAGTTCAGTACGATGGGAGTAGTAAAACAAAGTTCTACGTCCCTAAACATAAATTAGGGTAATAATAAAAGTAATATCGTGCAAATGGTCCTCTTTGCGCGTAATTTATATAGGTTTTCCCTTCTGGTCATTCTCGACCAAAGCCTATAAAGACTTAGGAGATTGTTAAGAATTGGAAAACATGAATAAATTCCAAATTTGTCACTAGCTCCCGGCAAAGGCCAGGTAGTTAGCGAGAAAGTAAAATTACCCGTCTTCGCATGGATGGCCCAATGGGGGGGTAATAGCGGCCTCGCAGCGGAGCTGCCTCGTAGACCGCCTGGCAGGTTATATGGACGCCGCAATCTGTGATTGGGCGCGCCTAATTTTTGATGGGCAGCACTGAGTGCTGTCTTCAAAAAAATAGGCGTTATATTCTGGCATCTACAATGTAGAACGCCTAATTTTCCACGGGTTTCCTAGGTCTTTGGGTTGGATACTTATTTCCATCCTGGGAGACGAAGCGTAGGTCGCCCGTATAGTCCCTAAGTTCAGAAACCATGCTGGGAAGGCTTGGTTCTACCGTTACTGCAGTGTCACTTCTGAGGCACGTGTCGGTTCTTTTTTACATTTTCAAGCTTAATCATATTATGAGTTGTAGTTTAATTAGGAAAAACACCAATCTTTGGCGTTGGCTTCGCATACCAGTTCGAATCTGGTCGACTCAGGTAATTTCAATTTCATTATTGCCGTCGATTTGTCACTGCAGCATTTGATCTATCGAGCGATTTTATCGCTCAAAATCAAAAATACGCAGCAGTGGTACTTTAGAACCCATAAACCCTGCGATCCTGGCGGTCGGGGGCACCTACTCGCATGCTCTATACTTGCAATTACGATACGGAGCATACCAGAGCCATGGTGTGCTGACTCTGCCTTCGTTCGCGAAGGCGAGATCAGCTGCCCTGTCGATCATAAATTCTTAACAACAGGGCCAATATGTCTGGAGTGGGTGTATTTATGGGCTAATTGAATGGTCCCTCATAGAAAGACTATACACAACTTCTGTCGTGGCTTGTATTAATAAATGCCACGACAGGGTAATTTTTTCACTCGATTGGACCATCATGATTTTAGATCATGATGCGCTAATCGGGCCTCGAAAAACGTAGATTTTCTAGCTATGCCGCGGGGTGATAACCTTATAAAATTTAAAGGAAACAGAACTCGGGTGGTTGAGTGTCTCCCTTTTAAGGAGAACGTCAGTGGTTCGAACCCACTTGTTTCCAAATTTATGAGGTTCTCTAGATTGGAGACTTAATTTCCATTTGGGAAACGTGCCGTCTTTTACAGTAAGACAAATTTCCATAAGCCCCGCCATCCATGCAGGTTCTTTTATTTGGAAAACCATCAAAATCCTGGCGGTAGGCTCTAAATTACAGCAACCTCATCTCCCTTTATATTCTTAACGGCCAACTGGGCGGACGAGATGCAGTGGAACTGTATAGTTTGACTTTAGAACTCCTATATTACCATGGGCAGGTTTAAATTTTCCATTTCTGGGCAATCCCGAAGTCTTTATAGACTTTGGTAGAAGATGACCAGAGTGGTCAACATCATGCCCTTATGGTCCCTCTATGAGGGACCATACGGAGCATACGCCCGTATCGTAAATTATGTTCAGGCAATGAAACCAGGTTAAAGAGAATCCTAAACTATTCTCTTTAACTATATAGAATAGTTACAGCTCCGCTAACAATCGAAACACCACTTCTTCAGCTAAGAGTTCAAGATAAAACAATCTGCGGTGTTGGGTCATGGGAAGGTGTATATTTTTCTGAAGAGTTAAAAAGAGCTATTGAATTGGGATATAAAATTGAAGTTATAGAGGGTGTTCTATTTGAAAGAGGTTCTATCTTCAAAGACTTTATAATAAAGATTAGAATCTTCGTCTAAAACATCCTAAGGGAACTGCAATGAATTTATTATGTAAACTTTTAATGAATTCTCTCTACGGAAAATATGGTATGTCACCTATCATGTCCGAAGGTATAGTTGAAACTGCAAAAGCAGCTAAATTAAATCCTAATTTACCAGAGGATTTTATTTCAATAAATGATGATCTAAACATAAACTTCTACACTAAGGAGTATAATAAGAATTTACATTTTACTAATCAGAAAGAGCATGATGCAATTTTACAAAATGCTTTACTGATTAGCTTACCAATTTCGATGGCAGTAACATCATATGCCAGAATAATATTGCATAATTATAAAATGCAAGTAGGTAAAGAAAATGTATTGTATACTGATACCGATTCAATTTATTCATTGGTAGAGTTAACTACAAATTTAATAGGTCCTAATCTTGGACAAATGAAATTAGAACATGTTGCAAATAAAGCAATATTTATAGCCCCAAAAGTATATGGGTTATCTCTTGAAGATGGGACAGAAATTGTTAAAGTAAAAGGTTCGAAACAAAATAGTGGTATTACTGTCAATAATCTCGAACAATTATTGGTAAGAGATCAAACTATTGAATTGAATCAAGATAAATGGTTCAAAAATATCACTGAAGGTTTAATTAATATCCGTTCAACCATATACACATTAAAAGTTACCGAAAATAAACGATAACCCTGAATAATTTTCGTTGAGGGAGGTAACCTAATAAACTATTTATTCCCCTTCTTTTTTCCTAATTAATCCTCTTTCATAAGTTCCTATCCTCCGGAAGGCATGCCCTACCTGAGCGAAGTGCTAATCAATAGATTAGCCTTTCTGCGGTTCAAATGGGAACCAGACTTTCAGGGCAGAGGACAAACTTCAAACAAAAAGAAGTTCAAATTAAAAGTAATTCTGATAGTTTAGTTGGTAGAACGCTATAACCACGGATCTAGTAGTTTTGTTTCGAGTCCGAATCAGAATTAACAAATATAGGCGTTGGTTATGTGCTATCGGATCTTCAAATCCTCTATGCACCATCCAACGCGGAGCCCTATTCTCAAGTATCCAAAAGATACTGAGAATAGGGCGCAACTCATTCCTCCTCAAAGTAGAGCGGTATGGGTTTTATGAAAACAAAATAAAAGAAATGAAATTTACCGCTAAATTTTTGACCCATATGGAAATTTTGGTAAATAGTATGTTGTAAAATATACTCAAATTAAAAACAGTGGAGGACGACTAAGCTGTTCTATATGAATTATCTTACTAAAGTTAAGACAAAATATAGTTTATGGGGCGAGACGTGAAAGCGGTATTCGTGAGAATATCATTTCCATTTGAAAAATGGAGACACGTTACGGGGGTCAACGAGAAATCATAAGTTGTACCCAGTTATAGAGGACGGAAGCAGGCGAGAAGTTAAGTCCTACCCTGTTTTAAGTAAAATTGATCCTAATTGAGGAAATATAAATGGTCTCTCTATAACCGGCACCAAGAGTGTAGCTTTTCTACACCCATTAAGTCCTATCATTACCATATCATGCTATTGAAAGAGATAGGATTTTTTGGCTGGCTGGCAGTTGTTACTTATTTTGTATAGGAAGAGGCTGCCCAATTGTTAAATGTAAAACCTGCTGGGCCCCGGCCGCTCCATCGTAAGATGGAGCGATCTAGGCCAGCAGGCCAGCAGGTGAAATATTCAATCAATTGACATTGAAGGGGGAATATGATAATGGTAATCTATTGTGTTTGCATCACAAAGATGATAGTTCGATTCTATCTTTCTCCAAGTTTAATAAAATGAATACCCTGTTGTGGCATGCATTAATACAAGCCACGACAAGGGATGAGTATAGTCCCTTTATAAAAGACTATACGTTTAGCCGAGAAACATTTTGAGTACTAAAGTGGAACTATCAAGTTCCACTGCAGTAAGATTTATGTTATCTCTTTTCCTGCCCTTAGGGCAGCGTCCAGGGTCCCGCAGCATTATATCCATCAAGCAATTTTATTGTTAAAAAGATCAAACACGCTGCGGGACGCTATGTTCAGACAGGGCGGTGTTAGGGGGATAACCCGCGCTGGGAATGTACTCGGTTATAACGACACAACGGCGTCACTCCTGACGTCCGTGTCGGTAATATAAGAGAGACCCACCTAACATAGGTGTTTGTTTCCCCTATTTTTCCTTAGGACCGTAGGCCCGGAGAAAAATAGGAACCCCTGCGAGCCCCCGGCCCGCTCCCCCTGAGCGGATTTAGGGCCGCAGGAGATAAGGAATCCCTATAAAAGTATATCTTCTACAGGGATCCTAATCAATTTCAGCTCCGATAGCTTAGTGGTGAAAGCACTATTGTGAAGTAATAGTGACGGGCGTTCGATTCTCTCTCGGAGCATTTTTCAGGCATTTACGTTTCTGAGGTCTTTTGGAGTGGAGGTTATACCTTCACTCTGGAAGACGTAACCCTAATTTTTAATGGTCTACCTCTCGAGCTATAAAATCGCACGATCGCTCGATCGTTAGTTCCTGGTCCCTGCTTCGATGTATTTATTGAGTTATAAGATAGCACAATAGATCAATCTACGCTGGGCCGGATAATTGGTTAATTGAAATCGAATTCTTTTGCATTTACGATGCAAAATACTTAAATTTGGATGGGCCGTGGGTTCTCATTAAATTTAGGGGACTTATTTTAGTTAACATATTTTGTTTTTAGTAAAAATAAACATTGTGCTGCGCTAAAACTAGTCCGTGGTATCAACAAAATTAAATAAGCCCCATAGATGCCATAATTGAAACCACACGGCAAATTCTTGCATCTATGGTGCAGAACGCCCAATCTACCTTGGGTTCTAGCCTTAATTATGGGGTTCCTCTAATAGTTCCGACACGGTTGTCATGAGTTACGCCGTCGTGTTGGCATAAACGTGCCAGGAGTATAATTTCGGCGTGGGGGATTTCCCCAACAATCCGGGTCCATGTTTACCACTTCTGGACAATCCCGAAGTCTTTATAAACTTCGGTCGAAGATGATAAGAAGGAAAAACGTAAGAAAAATTGGGGTTATTTTTTGTTCTTTTCCTTTTTAAGGAATAGGATAAAATAAACACGTCTTCCAGAGTGGAGGTATAACCTCCACTCCAGAAGACCTAAAAAAACAAAAGAATCAAAAACGATTAAATATAGAGCTGATGCCAGAATGGTAATTGGGGTTTTCTGTAAAAAAATTGACATGTTTGTCAGGGTAGGTTCGATTCCTACTTAGCTCATAATAATATATCCCGTACTCGCCTGGATCAGCGCGGAGCGCTGGCCAGGGCGAGAGCGGGCTCGTGATGTATCACCACAGGCCGGAATCCTTGATTCGGCGCACCTAATTTTCCATGGGCCTTTGGTCCATAGGAAAATTGGTGATATATTTTGTTTTTTCTTAAGATAAATTTCCGAAAATATCACTTTCTGGCATTTACGATGCAGAACGCCTATTTTTCCACGGGCTTCCTAGGTCTTTTGGGTTGGATATTAATCTCCATCCTATAAGCCGTAGCGCATTATTTTTGATACTGATCCGGAAGGCCGGGAAAGCCCCATGCGGAGAAGACGTCCGTGTCTGGGTATGTTAACAAAAAAATGATTTGATTTCCCTGACGTTTTCCCTTTTGGTCTATCCCGAAGTCAAGAAGTGGGAAACAGCGCAGCAAGGACCTACGGTTTAAAATCCTCCGGGGAATTAGGGCTTATTACCCAATCTATACAGAGGGCAAGACTGTAGCATAATCGGTTAATGCAATCTGCTCATAATAGATGAGATATGGGTTCAAATCCCGTCGGTCTTATTTTCAATACTTCACCCCTGAATGGCGCATCATGATCTTAAATGATGATGGTCCATTCGGGATGTCGACCCTGGGCAATTTGTGCCAGGTCTTTACATTTTCCATGGGCTTCCTAGGTCTTCTGGGATGGTCTTAATTTCCACCCTGGAAGACGTAGCGTAGGTCCTTGCTGCGCTAATTTGAAAATGAACCCATATGCCTCCTTGTCAGGACACATCTGGGTCCATTTAAAAGAAATTAAGGGGTCCCTACCTCACTTATTCCTTTGGGCGAATCTTTGATCCAGCAAACGACAGACCTGCGCGGATTAATTAATAATAATTCACCCAGAATTTTAACCTTATAAAAACATTAACCGCCGGTAGGTTCCCATAAAATTTCCACTCCTGCCAGGTGGCCGTGCTGCTTTGCAGTCAAAGCCCGACACTGGCTAACGGTCATACTAGCCGCTTGTGACCGCAGGTCACAGCTGCGCAGTTTTGAGTATAACTCACAGCCTGCAAGCATGGTCTATGGTCAGTGCCGGGGAATCTTAACTTGCCTTTGTGTACGAAGGCAGATTAAGACCACCTGCCTCGGATTAGGGGTCCTGGCCGCAGTGAATCCATAAAAATCTAGGCACCGAAAGTGAATTCATTTTATTCATTTTATTACCCTATTTTTCCTTAGGACCGTAGGCCCGGAGAAAAATCGGAGCTCCTGCGAGTTCCCGGCCCGCTCCATCCTCAGATGGAGCGATCTAGGGCCGCAGGGGAAATTTATAGGGACCCTTATATTTCACCTCTTGAAACAAAACCTTAAAATAGCTGAAATAGTTTAAATGGTTAAAACTCATCGCTCATGTCGGTGTAATAAGGGTTCAATTCCTTTTTTCGGCTCGTAAATTATAACCCCGTACGCTTTTTGATTAAGGGACCATGCGGGGACCCCTCTGACCGCTTTTTCGATTAAGGGACCATGCGGGGACCCCTCTGACCGCTTTTTCGTCCAATTGGGCTAAACCACACTTTTTTCTTGAGCTGGTCTGACTAGACCAGCTCAAGCCAAAAGGAACTTTGTCCGCTTTGTTGGAAAAAGGGATAGAGAAATTAAGGGAATGATTTGCCTAAAGGGCGTATTCCGCCCAAGGTTTTTTTTTTTACAAAAAGAACCAGCATCGCAGACGAATAAAAATAGTGCTGCCGTACTTTAAATACAGCCCCTTATATCCCCCAGTTATGAACCCCTTCCTGATTTTTTTTGACAAAAAAACAAAATGAATAAAAGAAGAGGTTAGTTTTTCTCTTCTTTAGAAGTTAAGAAAAAGAAAAATCGAACTTTAAAAAACAAAATTGCTATTAACCCTGGGTATAGAAATGTTGTTGACATCTCTTAACCTTAAATCGCCCCGCCAAAGAACTCTGGCGGGCGGTTTATCCTGGTACACTAGGTACGGTCATTAATCCGTACAGTTTTAAATGGACCCAGAAGCATCCTGACAAGGGTGCATTCTTGGTTCAGTTAAAATGACTGAAACCAGGAGAATTTTTATCCCTGTCTGGATAAACTTCACCTGGCTAAAGAAAAGAGTGCCGGGGGACATTTCTTCAAATTAGCCTTATTTTATTTTCTACGTTCTCCTAAATTTAGATTTTTCAAACCGCTTGAAAAATTAAACGGTATCTATTTGATCTAAAATTTGGGAACTTTTATAAAATTAGGTTTTCTCTCTGACTTTTTAAGAAAGAAGTAAAACCGAAGAAATAAATTTAGGAAAATTAATTTGTTGACTCACATACAAATCATGGTTTTTTTTTGAATTGATATTTATCAAAAAAAAAAGCTTAATACTGTGTTACCGTATCTTATCCCTTCATAACCAAAATAAATGAAAAATATCCCAAATTTAACTAACGGTTTTAGCGCTGAAAGCGCAATACCAAATTCTAAAATAAATAATATCGGGTTTAGCCCGAATAATGTGGCTACTAGCCATCTATTAAAAAAAATAATTAGCCCAAGCTTTAGTTCGGCTTCTTTATATGCCGGGCAAGGATTGTCTTATAACTTTTCTTCTTTAGGAGCTTCTACGGAACATGCTAACAGAAAAAAAGCAAATAAAATTATAACAAATTTTTACCTTAGATTGTCTTCTCTAATTAGCACACCTTTTTATGCTATTACGCCTAGAACTGTTATAATAAGCTTATGTTTTTACTTTACAGAACAAAATCTGAAATCATACTATTCTCCTACAGTGCCGCGCCATAACGCGGCTAATTTATCGACTTTAGCCGATACTGAAAATAAAATAAGGCTACAGCCGATCAACGAAACAAAAGGACCCAACGCTCTATCGCGTCTAGAGGACCCAGATTACTCACCTATTCTTGGAGCAATTTCAACTGAAAAGTCAAGATTTAAACCTGTTTGGAGTTTTGGGAAAACTCCATTATGGGTGAAACTATCAAACTCCGGGGACACCCTAAAGCCTATGGTACCAAGCTGTAGTGGAAACGCTGCAAGTGGCTGGAGTAATTACCCAGGTATGGTAACAAGCCATAAGATGAATGAAAATGAAATGGGTTATCGCGGATCTAAGTCAGTCTTAAGTTTAAATGTTAATTTAATTTTCAAATTTCATTTTTCAAATTTAATTTTTCAAATTTAATTTTTCAAATTTAATTTTTCAAATTTTCACTATTTTTGCGTTTTTAAATTATTCAGTCTTGGAGTCTACAGACAATTTTTGTTTTATTCAAGCTGTTGCACCTATTTTGTTTTACGACAATGCTGACAAGGATAAACTTAATATCCTTAATGAAAACGCTTCTAAATCAGGAGTTTACCGTTGGGTACACAAAGATTCCGGAAAATGTTATGTTGGTAGTTCAATAAACCTTGGAAAAAGAATTAACTACTATTAGAATATTAGCTCTTTGATGAAAGATAATAGAATTATTTCTAAAGCATTATTAAAATATGGTTATTCGGCATTTTCCTTGGAAATTCTCGAATACTGTGATCCTTCTAAATGTATTGAAAGAGAACAATATTATTTGGATTTATTTGATCCCGAATATAATAGTCTAAAAATTGCGGGCTCAAGTCTAGGTCTTAAACATTCAGATGAAGCAATTGAGAAAATGCGTTTCAAAGGTATTGGCCGTACAATTTCAGAAGAAACTCAAAATAAAATTAGTGAAAAATTGAAAGGTAATCAAAATGCAGCAAATGGATTGTATTATTATAGAAGTTTTTAATTTGGAAACAAATACTAAAACTTTCTATCCTTCAATGAATGAAACCGGGAGAGCTTTAGGTGAAGCTTCAGGAAGTATTCGAATGTATTTTTCTCGAAATTCACAGAATCCTTTTAAAGGAAGATATATTTTAACAAAAACTGATACAACCGAAAATAGTTAAAAATTAAAACAAAAAAATTAAAACAAAAAAATTAAAACAAAAAAATTAAGATAATAAACGCATGGCCCTTATTCTTAACCATACGAACCACTCATCTTTGCTGAGGGGTTAATTTTAAAAAAGAATATAAAGGAATCCATGAGGCTGTAAAAGAGCAACGAGTAGACGGTAGTTACTGCATCAAATCAACCCAAAGACTGCAAAGCAATCTTGTGGGGATGCAATTAAGGTATACTCTAATGGGTTTCGAAAGAAACTATCTTATCAAAATCCCTTCTAAACAATTAAATAGTTCATTTTTTTCTACATCAAGTCATGAAAAAGCTAAACTTAATCCTTATTTTGTCTCAGGATTAATTGATGCTGAGGGAAGTTTTTCTACTTCAATTTATAAAGATTCCAGTTACAAAACAGGCTGGAGGGTACAACCTTATTTTGAAATTGGATTAAATATCAGAGATAAAGAATTATTGTACCAGTTACCAGAATTTTTGGGGGAGTAGGTACAATTAGAATATACTCAATTACTGGAATTATTAATAAAAGATTATGATGCCGGAAGACTCGACAAAGATAAAAATAAAGCTATGGTAAATTTAGTAGTAGATTGATTTTCAGACTTAAGTGACAAAATTATACCATTCTTTAATAAATAGCCTATTTTTGGTCTTAAAAAATTGGATTATTTAGATTGGTGTAGAATAGCTAACCTCAAAAGTGCCGGAGCTCATCTAACATTTGAAGGGTTAGAGGAAATTAGAAAAATTAGAAAAATTAAATCCGGAATGAACAGAGGTAGAAAAGAATAAAACTATTTAGTTGCAAGATAAATTTGAAACCATGAACTTAATGACAACGGTTAATAATCACCACATTACAAGCTTATTTAATTTAGGAACTGACAAATTTCTTTTTAACTCTATTAGAACTCAGAAATTATTAGTTGTTTTAAGTAAATTATTCGGTAAAAATGTTAAATTGCAATTAGTGAGATTATACAACCCTTTCAAAGATAGTAAAATCTTAGC